TGATAATAGCTAGCATGCATTATGTGCCCTCTATTTGCTAAGCACAGACGACCCCCCATTTCTTCGACTGAATGGCCATGCCATCCACTAGGGCAAGAGTACTTGTTTACTGCCATATCCATAGCCCCTAGATTTCTTCCTGGCCCACAGTAGCTGCCAACTATGTATTTTCTCAAACCCCAAGATGAAAGACGAAAAAAGATGCATTTATTTCCTTACCATAATTCCCATTTCATGAAGTCTGGCCCTGTTATTCAATCAGTTCCTTATATATGTATGAAGGAGACTGATTAGATCAGGTTGGTTTTTTTTAGTTTTATTACTTCTCCTCAAGATCACATGTCAGCTTGTCTCGTGATACTATGGGCAGGTTAGAGGTGGGATTGGTGTAGACTCTGTACCGTCTCAGTCGTACATTATTTGCTTAGGAAATGTGTTAATTATATCGCTAGTTTGTATGATTTTGGATTTAATAATTTGTTGAGTTTTAATAGAAAATAAGGAGCAGAGGATAAGTACATTAATAATGGTAATCTCTACACAGAGTCATTTTTCTAAAATTAGATACTGGACTACAAAGAAAAATGTCAGCTGATTTTTTTTTTTTTGTTTTTTTGAGACAGAGTCCCGTTTGTTTGCCACAGGCTAGAATGATGTGCCGTGGCATCGAGCCTAGCTCACAGCAACCTCAAACTCCTGGGCTCAAGTGATCCTCCTGCCTCAGCCTCCCCACTAGCTGGGACTACAGGCATGACGCCACCCTGCCTGGCTAATTTTTTCTATATTATTATAGTTGGCCAATGATTTCTTTCTATTTATAGTAGAGACAGGGTCTCGCTCTTGCTCAGGTTGGTTTCGAACTCCTGACCTTGAGCTATTCGGCCCGCCCTCGGCCTCCCAGAGTGCTGGAATTACAGCGTGAGGCCACTGTGCCCGGCCAGTGTCAGCTGATTTAATTTGTAAAAAAGTTTATTTTTTGTAACAATAACCAAAAAACCCGTTACGACTACAATACTAAGGAAAACAAGATTGTACTTGCATTAAATATGACAAATAGTTCATATCAATTTTACATAAAGTTGCTGACAAAATTGAGAAAAAGGCACTGTTGATAAATGGTCAAATACCATAAACCCTTCATCCAAAAGAGGAAGTTGTAACTCGTATATAAACACATGGAAAAAACATCATCCTGTTACTTGAAGCAATGAATGAAGTACCAAATTTCAACCTGAAAAAATTAACAATATAGTATTTCCTGATAGTTGTTTCTTCCAACTTCCCATTGAAATACATGAGGACCTACAAGACAGAAGAAATGCACATTTTTTTAGTAGTACTGAAAACTAGGGATAATAACGAAACTTTTGCAAGAGGTGGGGAATTTTTTTTAAATAGTACTCATAGATAAAGATGGGCTAATAACTACAAGATATAATCTATACCCACTTTATCCTCTGAAAGGAGCAATAATCCTGGCCAGGAAAGAAGGAAGAAGACTTGGCCCCTATGTTCACTCCAGCACAGAACTCACAAGGGATTCATTATCCCAAAACCTGGGCAGGTGCCTCAACACTGTATGGGAACTTGAAGAACTACTCCAGCCAACACAAGAAATAAATCTCATGATTAAGAACTCATGCATGGGGAAGTTATTCTATAAAAATGACTAGTTTTGGGCATCAGAGCTGGTTTGTGTTCAGTCTAAATAATGATAAGTTTGCAAATGTGAAAACGTATTTCTGAAGAAGCTGATAGACCATAAATATAATTAATAATTACCTAGAGATGATATATTATAATAATCAGGTAGATATGGGAGAGAGAAAGCAACGAAAGAGTACTAAATTCCTTACTGGTATTTGGGAAACCAAAATACATTGTTTCATTTCATACTTTGAGAAATAGAGAAAAATTATGTTTTTAAGATGAGTTAATGGGGAAGTATGTTTTGGAAAGTATTAAAAATAACCAAAACCAATATATATACATAAAAACACACACCAGAATATGTGTTTTTCAAATCAATGTGGAAAATAAAAGAAAAACAGTTCTATAGCAAAAGACACAAAGAAACAAAGAAAAAATAATAAACCTAGAAAGCATAAAATAATGGAAGAAAACAAGGCATGTTTATAATGGCAATAAATGTAAAATTGTCAAAGTTTCCTGGATTTGATAGGGTATTTTTAATTGCAAGTGACATATACTAACTTGAACCAACACAGGCCAAAGGGGAAATTTTCTGATTCATATGACTATAAGGCAGGGGAAGATAGAAATAAGGATGGGTGAGAGTTTACTGAGATCAAAGTTTCGGGTGTTCTTGGGATTCTCTCTTTCTGTCTTATCTCTTTCAGACTATGTGTTGGCTTTATTTGATCTCATTGGCTACCTCTACAGGGCTGGACACATGTCTGCCACTAGATCAAGGCTCCTAATGCCACCAGCTGACACAGAGAGAGATTGAGACTGTCTCTTACCCCAGGTTCAGATATCGAAGAAGTACTCTGGTTGTCTCAGCTTGATTCACGTACCCATCCCTGGACCCAAGCTCCATGGCCAAGGAGGCAGAGTCACGAAAGAACACGGAAGCCCCACTAAGAACTATGGGGAGGAGGGGTTGAGGCAGAGAAGGAAAATAGTGTCCTACAAGGTTGGGGATATTTGATGCTTTTCTCAGGAGAACAGAAGAGAAATGCTACTCAAAGTAATAAATATAAAATTGCATCATGAATTACTGTCAAAATGTTCTAGACATTTTTAAAAATAAGACAATGATCAAAGATACTAATAAAAGGTAAAGAAATAAAGTAAGGGTGACAATATTACTATCATTCTGAGTAGAATGCAAGGCAAAGGGCATTGAACCGGACACAAAGGACTTTTTATATTGATAAAAGGTACAGTCAACAGTGACTATATAGTAATTGTGAATATGGTGCTAACACCATATGGTGCTAGCACCATATGTGAATATGGTGCTAACAATATCAATAAAACCAAACTTGTTAGAAGTGTGAAAAAACAGAGATGGCATCATAGCATAATGGTTGAGAGCACAAGCTTGGGGCTGATGGCCTGGGTTCTGTTCCTGGCTCCTCTTTCTAGCTGTGTGACTTTGGGCAAGTTATTTAACATTTCTGTGTCTCCATTTTCATATCCGGAAAATAGGGATGACAATAGTACAGGTTGAATATCCCTTATTGAAATGCTTGTGACCAGAAATATTTCAGATTTGGATATTTTCAGATTTTGGAATATTTGTATTATTCAAGTTGAGCATCCCAAATCCCCAAATTCAAAACCCAAAACACTCCAATGAGCATTTCTTTTGAAAGTCATGTAGGTGCCCAGAAAGTTTCAGATTTTGGAACATTTTTGACTTTTGGATAGGGGATGCTCAACTTGTATCTACCTTGCAGATTTATGTTGGGGAATAAATGAATTAATCCATGGAGAGCACTTAATGTAGCATATGTCAGGTGGTAAATACTCAGTAAATACCAGCTATCATCATTTTTTTTAAAAAGGATTGTTGGGGAAAAAAAGAGAAAATGTCTATGACTAATGTTAGCATAATACTTTCAGTTTTTAATTTTAATATAACACGTTGACCAAAAAAAAGGGGGTGGTTTAAAAACAGAATTTAAACGTTGAGCATATATAGACACTCTGGGAGCCTGCAAAAATAGATGAGACCTTCAAGCATCCATGGACACTGATGAAGCTGATCATATACTAGGCCAGAAACCTCAGTAACTGACCCAGAGCAGGTGGTTCACTGACCATCGTCCAGGGACGTGGGAGGCCTCTGAAACCTGTAAATCTCAGTTACATCTTGAAAAGGTCACTGTCGCTGCTGTGTGGAGACCAGGACTGCAGGGGCAAGAGCCATGGCAGGAGACTGGGTAGGCAGCTACTGCTGTTGTCCAGCCTGGAGGTGGTGGTGGCTTAGATTAAGGTGCAGTGGAAGGGGTCAGGAGCCATATTTTGAAAGTGAAACTGATGGATTGAACACGCAGTGTGAGTCAGAGAGAGGAAACAATGGTTACCACTGAGTTCTGTGTCTGGGATGGAGGACATGGACGAGGAGCAGGTTTGGGTGGAGGTGGTGAAAGCAAGGGTCTGCTTTTAACCTGTTGTTACTTGTCTCCTAGGGCTGCCGTAGCAAACTACCAAAAACTGGGTGCCTAAGAGCAACAGTTTGGTCACTATGCTAGATGCTGGATTTCTTCTTTCTTTCTTTCTTCTTCTTTCTCTTTCTTTCTTCTTTTCTTTCTTTCTTTTTTCTTTCTTTCTTCTTCTTCCTTCCTTCCTTCCTTCCCCCTTCTTCCTTCCTTCCTTCCTTCCTTCCTTCCTTCCTTCCCTTTCCTTCCTTCCTTCCTTCCTTCCTTTCCTTCTCTTCCTTCTCTTCTCTCTCTCTCTCTTCTCTCTCTTCTCTCTCTCTCCTCTCCTCTTTTTCTCTTCTTCTTTCTCTTGTTTTTGAGACTGAATCTCACTCTGTTGCCCCAGCTAGAGTGCAGTGGTGTCATCCTAGCTCACTGCAACCTCAAACTCCTGGGCTCAAGTAATCCTCCTGTCTCAGCCTCCCAGGTAGCTGGGACTATAGGCATGAGTCACCACGCCTGGCTAATTTTTTCTATTTTTAGTAGAGATGGGGTCTTGCTCTTGCTCAGGCTGGTCTCTAACTCCTGAGCTCAGCCTCCCAGAGTGCTAGGATTACAAGTGTGAGCCACCTCGCCCAGCCTAGGTTCTGGGTTTCAGTAGGAAATAAGACAAATTAGCTGTAAAGTAATATACAGACAGATAAATTGTGTGATAAGTACAAGTGGATAGTTAAGACCAGGGTGCTACTGGGGCCTGCACAGAGGGTACCTAATTGGTTTGGAGGTGGTTGGGGGTATGGAAAAGTTTTTTGGAGAAAGAGATTTAGGAAATAACATACAAATGCCACAAGTATAATACTAATAACATTTACAATCTACTCTCTATTTCAGTGTGGCAATAATAGTTTCCACACTTCAACTTCTCCAGGATTCAAAACTTTTTAAAAAGAAGGTAGTACAGGATGACGCAGAGACTCCCATCTCTCCAGTAACATCTGTATGTATGAATTTAACATTTATCTTTACAATACTTGTTGTGTAATAACTATTGGCATACTAGGACATTGTTTGATTAATTATTTGTATGAAGCAAAGGGGTCAAGTAGAAAAAACATTGAATTCAGAGTGAAAAGATCTGTTTTTAAGTCCTATTTATTAACTGGCAAAACTTGGACAGGTCCCTTAAATTTTCTTTTAAAAATTTTATAATCTTATTTGTGAACTGATGGAATTGGATGTAATAATCACTAAAGTCCTAGCCGGATGTGTCAGTATAGTAGTCTCTGTGTAGCTGTATAGTAGTAGCTGTGATCTACATGGCAAATAAAGTTGTTTCACAAGACTTGTTCTTCACTCCACTTTTGAATTTATTGCCTCAGCATATCCAGTAAGACACCTGTGCTGTTTCCTGCTTTAGTTAGATTCTTCCATTTAAGCTCCCAGATCTATTGACAACTGGTGTCATGGGTTCTTTGATTGGACTTTGATAAGATCAGGTAATTTAACAACACACGGTTGTTTGGGATTAAAATAAAAATTCATTACATAGAACCCTTGCTCATTATTTCATGCATTGCTAATAAAATCGTTAATATCTAGCATCATTACAAATTAGTAAAACTAATTGTCCTAAATAGAGATTCATTCATTTTTATATTAAAAGCAATAAAAGTGTTAAAAAGCACTCTAATTCTAAAAACTGACTTTAGAGCAATTGGTTGTCAACCAGGGCTGATTTTGCCTCCTAGGGGCTATTTGGCAGTCTCAGGAGATATTTTCATTATCACAACTAGAGGGAGCGCTACTGGATTCTTCTAGGTAGAGGCCAGGGATGTTGCTAAACATCCTATAATATATAGGACAGCCCCCCACAACAATTATCTGGCCCAAAATATCAGTCAGTAGTGCCGAGGTTGAGAAACCCTGATTTTGATTAAGTGTAACTTGACTTTTTATTAGTAACAAGAAATATAAGCATTGAAAGATTAAGTTATATTGATGGGCATTTTTTTCTCTATTGCTAATCTAAATACTAGACTCCTTGAGTTCTTGATGTGCCCATTCTAATCACCCTCCTGCCTGTGGGCCTCTGCGCACTGCTTACTTTTGTTTCCAGGAACAGCTCAACCATCTCTTCCTGAACTTCCCACCTGTCTGTTCACACTCTAGCCCCTTCAAGTCCTGTTAGGTGCTCCTGGATAGCAGGTGGTGCCAACTGGTTGGTCATGATGAGCTGTCAGAGATGCACAAAAGGAAATTCCTAGAACAAGCAGGGGTTGTTCTAAATGATTTTAAAGTTCCCAAGTATCTACAGTTGACTCCTCCCTGGAAAAGGCTCTTTTGGCACCTCCCTCTCAGTAGCTTTGGACAATCACTACCCCTTCATAAAGTGCAATAACGAGGATGGTAAATCAATTAATGTACATGTTTGGAATGTGAGCAGCACACAGCAATGCCACACTGTGGATAAAGACCCTGGACTCTAAATTCCGAAAGACAGAAGGTTGAATCCTGCTTCTGCCAAATTACCTTGGAGTGTAGCAAGATAGTTAAACTTTCTAGGTCTTAGTAAAATGGAAATAATAAGAACTCCCCTTGGTTGTTGGGATGATTGAATAAGATAATGTATATAAAGGATGTAGCACAGTGTCTGATGCATAGTAAGCACTAAATAAATATTAGTGAATATTATTCATTACTTTTAGCCCTTAAAATGATGTTTATAGAAACTTTTGATGATATAGAGACAGCTGATAATATAATTAGCAATGAAAAATTTAGACTAATAAACTATTTTTCAACAATGGGTATAGAAAGAAAAGAAAAGCTGAAAACAGTATGCCAAAATGTTAAGAGAAGATTGTGGGATTTTGGATGATTTTATTTATTTGTTTTTTTTTTTATGTTTTATAGAATGTGCAAGAATAATTTCTAAATTTAAAATTTTAATACTGTGAAATGATACCAGATGCTTTTCTTAACTTATATTAGTCTTAGCCTAGAACTTTGACATTACTAAATGGAAAAGATAACCATCATTTTAATATTGTTTAGAACACTGAAAATAAAGATGATAATGAGTTTTTAGACCCTATTTCCCTAAACGCCCGAGAATATTTCAACATTCATCTGTGGTTGAAGTGCCGCTTAGCATTGGTGACTGCGTTTGTTGCACAGATTCATGGCATTGGAATCGTGAAAGGTACAAATATTCTATTTTTTTAGTCAATGTGCTCATAAAAATTAATTTTACATAGATAAAGGGGGTTTTATTGGGATATATCTTATAATGTTAACATTTTATCACTTTCTAGCTTGATCTGTTTCTAAAATTAAAAATTCAAGTTATTAAATAAAAATAAGCATTTTTAATAGTCCTTTGTACCATTGAAAGTGGCATATTATGTTACCAGCATATGCAGAACAGTCAAGAAGATTTAAAAGTACTAATGCCCAGGTCTTCTTGTCTTCTGGGACAGTGGCTAAAAGTAGGGGTGAAGAGCAGATTCTGGAGCCTACCCACTTGAGTGCGAATGCTGCGTCTGCCACTTCCTGGCCAAGTCTTTCTTGGCCAAGTCTCTTAGTCCCCCTCTGTCTCAGTTTCCTGCTCTGTAAAACGGAGGTAATCGTACTTACTTCACAGGATTATTGTCTGGGTTAAATTCGTAGAGCCCTTAGATCACAACTTGACACATAACAAATGTTCTTACAGTGACTCATAATCACCTATTTGCATACCTTTCTATTCACCCATCTCTATCTATCTCCCAAATTAAATTATTTCATGTAATTTTGTTATTAGTTTTATAGCACTGGAATATCCTAAAGTATTAATACTTTCCCCCAAAGTACAACAAATTTCTTTGCCATGTTTTGTGTAGAGTCTATTTGTTAATAGACTCTATCCTTACATTCTTGATATTATATTTTTGTGATGAACATTGGGGATATTACACATATATACCTTATCACTTTGTTGATGCATTTTAAACAACCACATTTGTTTATTTTAGAGAACGATATGACAGATTGTGTGAGCCTCATCCGTGAAGTATGTATGGAGGCAAAAAGTGCAGATGACACGGAGCTACAGGCTGAATTCTTGATGCAAGCTGTAGTCCTTGGCCTACAAGAAAAGCATTTAAAGGCAGACATCATAACAAACCTTGAGGTAGGAAGGAAACCTTGTTCACATTTGTATTTAGGGAGGCATTCCAGTTAGAAAAAAAGGAGAAAAAAGATTTAAATTCCATTAGATACTGAATGCATAACAACCAACATGGCCAGCTCTTGTTTCAGTGAATTGGAAACGGAACTATAAAAAGGAATACTTTTGTTTTAATAGGATATAATACATTTGCTTGAAGGAAATGAATTGATTTCTCCTCGATCTTGGTTAACCCTGGCAAGAAGTCTAGTTTTGCTGGATGACTTAACCAAAGCTGAGAAATTCAAGGACCCTCACTTTTTAAAAACAGAAAAACCCAGTTTGTTGACTCAAGCTCACAACATTGTGATTGAACAGGTAAGAATGCTTTTGTGTCCACAAGACTTAAAAACGTACCTTTTGTCTTTTTTCTTGCTCCAAACCACGTTAACCAATTGCTCATTGCAATGTTTCTTTTATAGATGCTAAATTTGGGAGAAACAATTGAATTTCCTTTATCACATACTGAATATGCAAATCCATTACAACCTTTGAAAAATATCTATCTTCCTCATGTCCTGCTATTGGCCAAAATAAAAATGAGAATTGGTAAGAACATTTAAGCATATATTGCACTGATGAAAACTTTTAAGTTTTTTTTTAGGCAGGTTCACTTATGAGGGCATTGAAAAGGTGCAATATTTATGAATACTCAGGCTCCATTTATTTATTTAACAGATCAATAAGAAGTGATCACTTACTATGTGCCAAACTCTGTGTGATGTATGGATGGTCTTTATGTATGTGTAAAGCATGAAGTTGATTATAGTAATTATAACATGTGTAACCATTACTTGCTCTGAACTGTTATTGCACTTTATCCAGATAATCACTTAGATTGAAATTATACCCACATAATCTACTTTAAAATTGCTCTATAATTCAGCAACTTTACAAGAAAAAATCCTATAAACACAAAATGCAAGTACATTTCTTAAGTAAAACTCTTTCTTTGTTTACTAAATTGCTATCTAGCTTCTTTAAATTTATGACAAACTGGCAAGGAAGGTTTTAGAGAGGAATTTGTAAAAATGCATTATGTGTTTTAGGTTATAATTGATACTTATTAAGCACTTATATCTTTAAAAATGCTTAATGTACTTATTGTCCATGAACAAAAAACAGCTGACCTCACTCCTGTCTCAGGAGAGCAGCCTTCCCCTTGCTAAAGCCTCCAGCCTTTCCTGCCTTTCTCTGCGGCTCTAGCTCCGTTCCTTCCACCCTTCTCAGGGAACTCACTCAGCACTTTTCCTCCTCTCTCACATATATTCTTCCCTCCTTACTCAATATGTCCTTTTCCTTTGTTTCCTCAGTTTGTAAATATTTCCAAATATGCACCAAAGAAAGTAAACCCACCCTAACCCTCTCTCACCCGAACAACACCCTATTCCAGTTCCAGCAGGACTCCTGGGGGTGGGGGTGGGGGTTTTGCCCCACCTTCTTTCTCCTCTTCTCTTTCCTTCTTATCTCACTTCAGCCTGGATTTGGACCATAGAAACCACTCTTGAGGAGGTCACCACAGAATTAATTTATAATTGCACCATATAATTTTCTGACCCTCAGCAGCATTTGCTGTTGCAAATCAGTCACAATTTCCTGAGACTCTTCTCTTTTTAACTTTCGGATTCTCAGGCACTGCAGTCTCTTGGTTTTCCTTCTCCCTCTCTCTCTGGTTTCCTATCTTCATGGCCTTTGTGTACTCTATTTCCCTAGTCTGTCCCTGAAATAAATGCTCTCCAGTTAATTTTGCTTAAAAGGCTTCCTACGATATATGGTCCAGGCCTATCTGTCCCCCTTCCCACCCAGCCCTCCAGTCACCCCGAATCCCTGTAGGAACTTTGAACATGTTACTTTCTCAGTTTGGAGCAACCCACCTCAGAAACCCCATTCCTCCCACATCCTTCTTTTACCTCTCCCAGCCTCCATACAAATACACTTCCTCTAACTCTGCTCATCCTTCGGATCTCAGTTAAACATCATATCTGCTGAGAAGCTTTTCCAGACTGCCAAGGCTGGGTGAGGTACCCTGCCCCCTTCTAATTGTATTCGTTTTTTTTTTTTTTTTTTTTCACTTTATTGCCCAGGCTAGAGTGAGTGCTGTGGTGTCAGCCTAGCTCACAGCAGCCTCAAACTCCTGGGCTCAAGCAATCCTCCTGCCTCAGCCTCCCAAGTAGCTGGGACTACAGGCATGCACCACCATGCCCAGCTAATTTTTTCTATATATATGAGTTGGCCAATTAATTTCTTTCTATTTATAGTAGAGACAGGGTCTCACTCTTGCTCAGGCTGGTCTCGAACTCCTGACCTGCAACAATCCGCCTGCCTCAGCCTCCCAGAGAGCTAGGATTACAGGCGTGAGCCACCTCGCCCAGCTCTAATTGTATTCTTATTGTAACTCATCACATTGGTTGTTAAGGACAGTATACTTTTTGAAAACTGCTTTAGAATATAAACCTTTTAAGGCATCAATTTTGTTTTGTCCACCTCATATCCCAGGCACCCAGCACAGTGTTTAAAATCAATCAATCATGGTGCTTTCAGACTTCATTCATCCAGTAGACTACTATGCAATCACTGATAATGATGTTGCAAAATAATTTTTATACAATGGGAAGATGTTCACACTACATTGGAAAATGTATAAAACAAAAAATTATAAAATACTCATACTATGCATCATGATACCACTGGATAATAAAGACAAGAAGGATTTATACCAAACTCACAGAGACTCTCCTTGGCTAGTTGACTATGGATGATGTTTATGTTTATTTTCTTCTTTTTGTTTATCTCTTTCCTTTAACTCTTCCACGGTGAACACACAAAGAATATTCTTTAGTCAAAGTACAAATCTAATGAAAATAAAGCACTTAGCACCTAGGACCACTGGTGCATATAATATGCGCTTAGTAAACGTTAGATCCCTTTCAAATATTTGAAGAAAAATAAACTAGTGGACAGTGCTATGGAAATAAGACTAATACACAGGTAGCAGAAACAGGAAAGCTGGGTGGAGACTACAAAACAAAATGCTTAGATGGAGGCTGAGGTTCTGAAGGGCCTAGTCTTGAATCTTGGCATTACTACTTCTTAGTTGTCCGATCTTGGGAGTTATTTAAGATCTTAGAGTCTAATGCCTTATCATCAAAGGGGATGGGGCTATTCACCCTGTATATTTGGAATAATTAAATGAGATAAAGTATATGTCGTATTTCACCATGCTTGGCACATAGGGGCCATGCAATAAATGGTAGTACCATTGCTGTTATTACTTCTTACATTTTACTTTGTCTTTACTACTTATTTTACTTTAGTTTCTTTATCTTTGTCAGTTTGATCAAGTTGTTTTTATCATCTTTTTCCTATTAATATTTTGGACATTTATTGTACCTTTCCTTCCCCGGTCCTCAGACTCAGAAATGTGGCCCCTCCTCTCATACCCAGATCCAACCATCTGCTCTCACCAAGAGGTTCTTACCTGCTTCCCTTACAGGCTGCCCCAATCAGAAGAGACATTTATTTAGATGAATTTTGTTTTTTACTTTAATCTCACTGTATAGAGATCTCCAGGTTTTTCCTCCTCCTCTACTACACTCTCCAGCTCCTAGATTTTACTGAGATCATTTAGTACTTTTTGATGCAAAATATCTTTAGGTTTTTCCTTTGAACCATTTTTTTCCTTTTTAAAGAAACTCCATTTATAATTTATAACACCAGGTCCTAGTCATTCCACCACTGGGCAAGTGCTGCTGCTGCCCCTGCCTCTTCCTTTTCATCCATCTTCAAAGTCTTCAGTCTTTCAGTCTCTGTTCTGCTTTACAGGTTGTTGATTAAATTTTTTTATTTTCCTTTTTGAGTGTTTCCCTCAGACGATCTTCTCTCAGATTCCGTGTTCTCCGCAAATACTTTTTTTGCGCTTTGATAGGCAAATGCTGTGCTGTCTCAACTCAGTGTCAGAGTCTTGGGGTATGGCCTTTTCTCTCAGGATTTGATAGAGGTTATTCCATCATTTCTAGCTTTGAATGTTGCAAATGAGAACTATAGTGTCAGTTTAATTTTTCTTTTCTTTTTATAAGAAATTTGTTCTATCTGAAAACTTGCAAGATTTCTTCTTTTGTCCCTGTAGTTCAGCAATTTTACTAGCATATGTCTGGGTATAACACTTTTCTTTCCTTGCCTAGAACCTAAGGAGTCTTTTCAATCTGCAGACAAATCTTTTTCTAGCTCTGAGAAAAATTCTTTTTGCTTAATGATTGCCTAGTCACTCTCTGTTCTTTCTTCTTCAGCTACTAACTAGTACAGCTAGAGCCAGCCCACCTAGTTTCAAATCTTGAGCGTGTGACTTAACTACTTTGTGCCTTAGTTTCCTCATCTTAAAAATGAGGATGTATGAGTCTGTTTGGGCCGATATAACAAAATACCCTAGACTGGGTAATTTATAAACAATAGAAATTTATTGTTCACAGTTCTGGAGGCCGAGAAGCTCACAAACAAGGTACCAGTAGATTTAGTGTCTGCTTCGAGCTTGCTGTGCTTCATAGATGGTATCTTCTATGTGTCCTCACATGGCAAAGGGGGCAAACAGGCATTCCCAAGCCTCTTTTATAAGGATGTTCACCAATTCCATTCGGGAGGGCAGAGCACTCATAACCTAAGCAACTTCCAAAGTCCCCACCTCTTAATACCATCAATGTGGATGTTAGGTTTTAACATATGAATTTTGAAGGGACACAAACATTAAGGGGATAATAATGCCACTTACCTCATAGGATTGTTGAGAAGATTAAATGAGTTAAATGGCTATACTAGTGCCTGGACCATGGTAAGCACTGTTAAGTGTTGAATACTATTACTTGTATGTCAAGTGTTGGTCTGCCTTCCAAGTCTATTATGTTTTCCCTGATAATTTCCATTTATTCTTATCACCTCTGATTTGAACTACTTCTGTTTGATCTTTCTGATCATTAATTCAAATTGCAGCCTGATCATCTTCCCAAAATTATCTGAAAACTTTATATTTCTATATATGCTCTTATTTTTTTAATTCAAGTTGTCATTTGACCCTCAATCAGTTTTATTTTACTACTGTCACCTTTTCTGGGGGTTACATTCATTCTTCCTCTTGCTGGCTGCTGGATCTTCTTTGCTGGGCTATTTTACTTTGTCTACTTATTGTGCTTTAGGTCCAGCTGTTGGATTAATTTCAGCAGTGGCAATGCTATAAGTGGTGGTGAAGAGTAACCAATTTTCCCTCTGTGTGTTGGTGTTGTACAAGCCTTCAAGAATTCAGTTCCCTGTTGAGGCACCAGGAGAAGCAGCAAAGGCCAGCCTTGTTCAGCTTCAGGAGTAGAGAGCCCTCAGCCCATTTTCAGGCCCCTCACACCTCCTCAGAAACCAAAGAGCCAGGCAGCCAGAGCTGTCTTTCTTCTGAGCTCATGGACATTGTTTTGAGCTCTCTCTAGGATACTGTCTCTCATCTTTGACCCAAGGCTTCCTGACTCTGGTTCCAGGCTCTTGTCCAGTCCAGAGTACAGAAAATCCTGTACCAGCTGTTTTTATTCTTACCATCATCTTCTAGGATCTGCACAGAAAGTGAGCTCAGTTCAGGAGAGGCTGATGGTTGGATTGGATTGAGGAAGGGGAGGCAATAAGGACACACTCAAGTTGTCACCCATCCAGGTTCTTCTCTTATCTGCCTTCTGCTCCTCCCTCTCATTATTACTGATCATTGTTATTATATGATTATGAGCATCATCAAATATGAATTTCATTACTTTATGTAAATTACTTCCCCTCTATATTGGTAAATTTCCTTATTTAATGAGTTAGGCTGGCTTAGTTGGCTTCTCGAATTCCTTCCAGCTTGCTAATCTCAACGGGAGCTATTTTTCCTGTAATTTTAGTCCATGATTTCTTATATTATCAGGACATTTGATTTCTACAGGAACTGAAAATACAGATTGTGTTAAATCATACAGATTGTGCTAAACCAAATGTATTCTCTGCTTTTCTGACTTACTAATCTTGAAGATGTGTCACCACTCAATGACAATACTGTTGCTGTGTTTTAGACTCGCTTGAAGCTGAACAGCTTGCTTTTTGGTATATTATATTAAATACAGACTTAAAAAAACAAAACCAAAAGCAGGTTTCCTGTCAAAACAACGTCAGTTTCACGGCGTCTTTTTCACAGAGTTGATATTTACTGGAAAAAGAAGCACTTCAATATTATAAAGCACAAAATCATCTGTGACTTGATGCATTCTCGACAGTTTTTCTTTATAGTATAGATTTAATCACAAGAATAGAGCCATTTACATTTTTTCTTTGTGAAAGTCTCTGATAGAAAAAAGCATTTTGAGATTATTTTTATAAAACCAAAATAAACATCATAACTGTTTAACATTTTTTCCATTAATGACTGAACCTTGGGCTTCCTTATTAGATGAAAAAGTGGATTCCTAATTGTGTAATAGGAGTGAATGAAAGTCACTTAAATTTTTGACATTTATTCAATCAATAAACATTTATTGAGGACTACTTATGTACAAGAATAACAGGAAGTGAGGTTATGATAGGGAGCCAGCCATCACTTCTGCCCTCAAAGGGCCTACTATTTAGTTAGGGAGAGAGAGTAAATAATCAATAATTTCTGAACAATTCTAATTTTAACAAAAATCTAGAAGATAATTCAAGTACTATTATTATATATTACTACCTTATTACATAGTATATATATAGTACATATAGTATATATCATAATATAATATGTAGTATATATTATAATAGCACTAATAATATATAATACTGCTGATATATATTTATATATACATGCATGTGCCATAACCACATGAAGATATTTGATATTTTTGTCTTATATTAATTAACAGCTGCAGTATAATTTGAAACAAGTGAAATATATAAAAATGGGAGATATATTGACATATGAGAGTGTATTGGACAAATGATATGAGCATATGTTTTCATCTTCTTCTTGCCTGGGATCTAATCACAATTGGTAACTGTTGGGGTGGAAAGTGTGGACTCTGGAGAAAGTATTCTTTTCAATTCCCTTGATGTATTGATAATTAATTTTATCAATCGCTGTGCACAGACTTTTTTCTAATTTAAGCTCAATCTGCAGGACACACCACCACAAGCCACACCAGTTTTACTTACATTTATTAAGGGAGAAGAGAAAAAGAGAGAAAGTAAGAGAAAAGTACCACAGGGGAAGAACACAAAAGAGTAATCATACCACTAGGATCCCATTATCAGCACTGGAGGCTTATCTTCACCGGTCATCTCAACACAGGGGCTAATTCTCACGGGCAGTCTCTCAGGCAGCGGTGAAGGCAACACGCTGGTATATCAAGCAGGTAGGCAGCAGCATGGAGATGTTAGAGAAGCAGCAGCAAAGAAGTAGTAGTACTGTTTATATAGTGGTTTGAACAAAGGAAGAAGGCTTTGGCGCCAAAAAGGCATATGCTCTGGTCACTGAGGTCCCGGATCTGACTAGGAACTGGGGCCTGTAGTGACTGGTCTCACATATCAGTTCCGGGCATGAGCCTAGGGTAAACATTCCTGGACAGCCCAGGATAAACAATCCTAGGCAGTCCAGTAAGTCAGGATAAACATCCCCAGGCACATAGTTCAGAGCTGTCAATTCCCATTTCCTCAAGAAGTGGCCAACTTCTCCAGGAAATGGGTGCATACCTCAAGCCTTATAAATTTATATGACCCCAAGCAGGCCTTAATATTCTGTACCTCAGTACACTTGAACAAGTCATTTAACTACCCTGTGTTTCTGTTTCCTCCCCCATGAAATTGGATAACTACCAATACCAATGGCTTCTTGGGGGCTTAAGAGAACAGGATATGTAATGGGTTTCAAAGGGTGCCCTGCTTGTGGGGAGAGCTTTGTAGGTGTGAGCTAATCTTACTGTTCCAAGCCTGGCCTCCTCACTGTTTTGGGAGGCTCCTGGAAGCAAGGACTTGGTGTCTTCATCTCCATATTCTTGGCAGTGTGCCACCATCCTGCCTAGTCCAGAGAAAGGGCTCAGTAACTTTTCCCCGGATACGAGAGAGAGAGAGAGAGAGAGAGAGAGAGAGAGAGAGAGAGAGAGAGAGAGACTGAGATGTTCTCCCCTATCTTGCCTTTCCTATAACACATTCCCAACCTGAAAATTTGCAAAAAGTTCTAGGTCTTTAAAAAATCCTTTATAGGGTATAGCATCGTGGAATTGGAAAATTTCAGAGCCCAAAGAGACTTTGCTATTTTCTAGTTCTGTTGCCTTGATTTTTCAGAGGAAGACACTCAAGGCCCAGAGGTGTGTTGGAACTTGTTCCGAGCCTCAGATGATGTGGCAGCACCTGTGACTAGATCTCGCACTTCTGCTAGAACCCAGCGTGTGTATTTAGCAATCCTACACCCCCTCTCTATATCTTTATCATGTGTGTTCAACTATCCTATCAATGTAGTATTTCCCCTCGTTACCTTCTACTCTTTAGGCCAATGTTTTTCTTCTTTATAATTCCCAAAGAGAAGGTAGTTGTCAACTGTCAGCCTAAACAGCCATGTTCTCTGTGAAGGTTTCCCTGACCTTTCCCGGATCTGGGCCGGGCTCCTTTAATCTGCTATCACAGTACCTTGTGCTTTCCTTGCTACACGATCAGCCACATAGTGTTTTGATTGCCTGTCTGGCTGTTCATATTCTCCATTAAACACTAAGCTCTGTGATCTGCCTCTTAAACGTTGGTGCAGTATTGTTGCATAGGGTGTAGGCCTTGGAGCCAGACTGCCTAGGTTCAAGTTATATGCTTGCTATTTACTAGCCATGTGACCTTGGGCAAGTTACTTAAAGCTCACTGAGCCATTGCTGTGTCCCCTGTCAAATAGGCATAATCGTGGACTGTACTCAGTTGTGAATGTGGATCATGTGAATAATGCATGTTAAATACTTGAGCTGGTGTCTGGCACATAGGAAGCATTCAACAAATCTTAGCTCTTATTATTCTCTTTTCTCATTTTTATCCAATATTTAAGCACTCGGAAAATATTTATTAAATAAATATCTGTCTTTAAGGCCACACAGGTAAAGTCTAATGCCTCTTCCATACAATAGTCCTTCATTATGTTAAGTGATGCTGGGACCATATAAGGAGCATAGCATGTGGCCCCGTCCTTATGGGTTTGCTATGTAATTGGGATGACAAGAAAAATGCATAGTAAGCAACTGCTATGGTGCTTAATGTTAGGGTGGAGAGGTTTAGTAGGTGCTCATAGCACAGGTGGAGAAAGATTTCTCACTCAGGGATTAAGCAAGGCCACCCCTTTTACTTAATAGGAAGAAAATTACTGCCTATTAATTTATGCAAATTTCATTGGGAACTACATAAAACTTCCAGGTGTTTCTTTACTAACAACCTCATCTTAGGAGCATGGAAGTTGTTTTGCGGAGCATTGAGAAATTTTAGAACTGAAAGAGACTTGAGAGACTATCCTTTACTTTAAAAACAAGAAAACATTGGAAATTAAATTGGAACTAGCCAATGGGCACACAAGTACACAGAGGAAAGTAAAAGTCGCAGGAAATCAAGCAGTGGGGAGGGGAGAGAAAGGAAAGGGCAAAAACCCACTTAATGGGTGTAATGAACACTGTTCGGGTGATGGGCACATTTATAGCCCCAACTTAAGCCATGTATCAAAAATATCTGTACCCCATTAATATTTTGAAATTTTAAAAAAGATACAGTTTTGAAAGGTTATTGTTGTAGTTCACTGTGCCTCTTTAAAACATGCCTTGGATGATAAAAACTATGCAGACCACCAGCATTCTTAATAGATGTCATTACTGTGAGAGCAATCTGGAACTCATAGGCTTGTTATGAACACTGCATATTTTATGGTTTTCTTTTAGGACATACAGTGGCCAAGCAAGTACATCATAACCATAAAAGGAAGGACCCCTCAAAGTGGTTACCTGCTCTCCATCTGTTTGACATGGCAGAGAAGCTCTGCAAGATAACAGTAATACAGGAACATGAGGTGGAAGCTGAAATCCTTTTTCAGAAAGGTAAGATGCATTTGGGGTCAGAGCTATGATAAAATTAGTAGAATGTTTTTCCTATTGAGAATAGGCTGCTGGAAAATGTGGTTACTGACTATAAAAATTACTGATTTTGCAATGGGCTTGGTGATAACTAAACATATTTGTATTTCTGCCAAACTCAGTTTTAGAAAGAACGCTGCTTATTTTAAGTTTATATATAGAAAGAAAAAAAGTGCTACTACTTCATTTCTTTTATAATTATAATTGACCCTTCTCTTATATAAAATTTCATGTTTAACCAAAAAAGGTCAGCATCAGCCACTTAGCTATAAATAATATTACTTAAAGAATGCTTGGAAGATATTTTTTCTACATCATTTTATTACTTAGCTAAACATTTTGGTTCATTTCTATAACCAAGAGATTCATACCATTGAAATTAAATAGCTATAGCATACTTTTATAACTTATATACAGTACCTATTTGTATAATATCCTCATATAATATTATTGTGGCCATTTTAGCCATGAGAGAAAGATAATGATGAGTGCTCTCATTTACTGAGCATCTATTACACACTAGGCACTGTAGTCAATGTTTTATATCCCATATTGCTAATTTTTACAACATCTCTTCAAGGTAGGCATGACTAATCCCTGGTGACAGATTAGGAAAATGAGGTGTAGTCTGGTTAAGTCACTTTCCAAAAATCAGCAGCTATTAAATGATAATGCCCAGATGTGAATTTGACACTGGTCAGCCCTGTGCCCTTTCCACAGGCCACAAGAACACTGAGATCCTTTTTACAGTGATTATAAGATTGCCCTTTTCTGCCCTTTTTGCTACCCAGGTGCTCTGCTATAGCCTACAGTTGAAGGCTGCAGCTCACCCTAAGGGCTGGGAGCTGTGTGGGGGCTGGACCATTTGCACCACCATGGAGAGTTTTCAAGCATTGGCTGATGTTTTAGCATTCCCCCCCTTAAGTTTGTGCTTTTTTTTAATTTAAAAATTTTTTTAAATTTATTTTTAATTGACATAAAATTATATATATTTATGGGGTATAATGTGTTGTTTTGGTATGTGTATACAATGTGGAATGATTAAATCAAGCTAATTAATGTATTTGTCACCTCACATGTTATTACTTTTTTGTAGAGAGGGCATTTAAAAACTACACTCTTGGCCGGGCACGGTGGCTCACACCTGTAATCCTAGCACTCTGGGAGGCCGAGGTGGGCGGATTGCGAGACACCGTCTCTATTATAAATAGAAAGAAATTAATTGGCCAACTAATATATATAGAAAAAATTATCCCGGCATGGTGGTGCATGCCTGTGGTCCCAGCTACTTGGGAGGCTGAGGCAGCAGGATTGCTTGAGCCCAGGAGTTTGAGGTTGCTGTGAGCTAGGCTGACACCATGGCACTCATTCTAGCTGGGCAACAAAGCGAGACTGTCTCAAAAAAAACAAAAACAAAACTATACTCTTAGCAATTTTCAAGTGCACACTATATGATTATTAATTATCATCACCATGCTGTACGATAGATCTCCAGAACTTATTCCTCCTGTCTAAGTGAAACTTTATACTCTTTGACCAATATCTCTACTTCCCAATCCTCTCACCCTCCACTTTCTGGCAACCACCATGCTACTCTGTCTCTACTTCTGTGAGTTTGACTTTTTAAATGTTCTACAATTAAGTAACATCATAGAGTATTTTTCTTTCTGTGCCTGGCTTATTTCACCTCGTAAATGTCCTAATGTCCTCCAGGTTCATCTATGTTGTTGCAAATGACAAGATTTTCTTGTTTTTTAAGGCTCAATAATATTCCCATATACATATGCCACATTTTCTTTATCCATTCATCCTTCAGAGGGCACTTAGGTTGACTGCATATCTTGGCCATTGTGGATAGTGCTGTAATAAACAGGGGAGTACAGATGTTTTCCATGATATCTGTAAAGGAGACAGGGAAAAGAGGAAAATGGATATAGGAAAAAGGAATGAGATGCAGGAGGAGGTGGAAGCACAAAGTAAGGAAATGGAGAAAAAAATAAGATGGTAAGACCAGTTGTGTCAGGAAAGTCAAAGGAGTCTTGACTCTGTGGCCAGCTGAAGGCAGGGCAATCCTGAGATTCCTGGAGAAGGAAGCAATAGATCTTTCCCCACTAGCTTACCTTCCTGCAAGAAATAACAGACAGACAAAAGGACAGTACATCAGATTTCCTGAATTTCCAGCATGAAATGCTTGTTCTTAAGTTCTAAATGATAGAAAAGGGAAAAACTGTCTTTACATATCTTTTTCTTTTTCCAGGCAAAATAGAACGTCAAATACTGATGGAAGAGAAATCTCCAATTTTACTATCTGGGAGTTTATATGAAGCTGTACAACTAAGCTTGAGAAATGATCAAAACTCAGAGTAAAAAATATATCTTTCCATTGTTGAAGCTGCATGTGTTTGGTTTGGGCCCTGTGTTCTTTAGTACTTTGACTGTGCAAGGCTGGAAGGATTGGGAGGCCTGTTCATGGCAGGGGTAGTCCATGGGGTCCCTCTCAAGCTGGTTGCTCTTGGTCCTGAACCAAGACCTCCTTCACAGTAATGGTAGATGATGGCCGTCATCCCAGTGGTGCCCTGGACTGTGAGTCATTTCTGGCCTGTATCTAGATCTCCTGTCAGTCCCAGGATTGCTGGGGCTTCCTCTGGATTACTGATTTGTAAACCAGAAGTTCCTCCCCTAGATGTGGAATTGTATCTAGAAGGGATTTGTGTGGATATTCACTCTGGTCCTTGGCACCAGGATTGGCCAACTTAATTCTGTACAAAAATCACTTCAATATTAAGAGTAAGCCACCTTTGTTACAACTACACTGACCCCCCAGTCAACAGGTTTGGTATGAATACATAGACCTAGCCCATACCAAATCACTGCTTTTTGCATTGCATAACTCTATGTGATCCTTTCCATTTTAATTAATATAGGAGGGTAGAGAGAGAGGCCTATTTCTCAGGATAGGTTCCTCCAGTCCTGGCCTTCACTTCTTTAGTGCCTTGTGTGCTAGAATATTCTAGAATAGTCTTGCTATTGGGCTTCATAGCAGTCATGGCATGGAGTATTACCAATAGAGGACAAGGTAAAATGTTCAGCTCTCTTCAAGAGCTTCCAATTTTAGTAGGGAGGAAGGTGCTAGTATCTGTGCCAATAAATGCTATGAAAAGTGGGTGTGAGTTTGGAACAGATGCTGGTTTTGCCAGTTTTTACCTTTCATCGGCTCAGAAATTGTTGGCAAATGATGCAAATGATTATGAGTGGTGAAGCTATTTTTAATAAGTACAATGTTATATCATTATAGGTTGATAAGAGACTCCTACTTAGAAATGGCCCTATTATATTTTCATCTGATGAAGCCAAGGAAAAAAACTTCAACAACACTATTAACAGTTAAGGTAATAGCCTATTTTATTAGAAATTATAAGTTAATTGCCTTTGAGCTTGCTATTTTGGTAACACTGTGCTACTGAAATAATGAAGCTCATTTTCCTGTGTGGCTTGGAGAAATTAATTCATTATGGATACATTTATATTTAGATACTTCTTTGGCTATCAAAGCTCTGGAAATTGATTTCATGTAGACATTTTTTGCCTGTTAAAATGTTATCTATGAACTGTAGGTATATGTAAATATTCTATGGCAATGAGTCATCAGTATTGATCAGGACATTGCAGGAAATGACATATTGGTTAAACAGATGGACAAATAAGGTTTTCAACACTGATATGGCCTATAAACAGATCATTTTTTTTTTTTTTTGAGACAGTCTCACTCTGTTGCCTGGGCTAGAGTGCCATGGCGTCAGCCTAGCTCACAGCAACCTCAAACTCCTGGGCTCAAGCAATCCTTCTGCCTCAGCCTCCCAACTAGCTGGGACTACAGGCACATGCTACCATGCCCGGATAATTTTTTCTATATATGTTTTTAGTTGGCCAATTAATTTCTTTCTATTTTTAGTTGAGACAGGGTCTCATTCTTGCTCAGGCTGGTCTTGAACTCCTGACCTTGAGATATCTGCCTGCCTCGGCCTCTCAGAGGGCTAGGATTACAGACGTGAGCCACTGTGCCTGGCCAACAGATTGCTTTTTGATTCCTTCATCACACATCTGTTGTGCACCTACTATGATCCAGGCACTGTCCAGAGGAAGGTGTTATAGCAGTGTCTACAGCAAACTCAGCCCCTCTTCTTGCCTTTCAGTCAAGGGCAACAGACAATAAGCCAGGAAAGGATGAAACCCAGAGGGGGCCAGATGGGAGGGAATGGGGGAGAAAGAGGGAAAGGGGGAATGACTTTTAGGATTAGGAAGTAACTTGAGTTGATAGAATGGTGAATGGATATACTGGAAAGAGATGGTGTTCAAGGTGGGATTTGCTGGATGAGGAGGAAGCCTTGTGAGGTTACAGAGGGATACAGTGATTCCAAATTAAGGTACAGAAACATCTCTGAAAAGCTTGTGAAATTATGGATTCTGATTCAGCAAGTTGGGGATGGGGTCTGAGTTTGGCACTTCCGATGAGCTCCCAGGTAATGCTGAGCCTGCTGGTCTGTGCACCACACTTGAGTACCAAAGGTCTGGACTGAGGGAGATCCTAGAGGCAGGAATAATCCCTTGGGTTTAAGGTATATGAGCCAAGTAATTTTATTTTTTATTTTAAAAATTTAGTAGGTTTTCCTATTTTATCCTCATTGAATAATCATTTGACCTACCAAGAGATCTTTTCAAAAAATGTTGGTGTCAAATCTTTAATTTTTCAGACAGCATAAACATAATTTAAAACCTTTAGGCAAATAGACTCTCAGTCAATTGCATTATTTATATGGTATCTGCCTTAGGTGGATAGCACCTATTTTATTAAATAAAAATAATTACAAACTAGGAAAAGTTACTTTTTGTGATGTGATAAACATGTTTATGTCTAGTAAGAGAAAAAAAAAATCTTTGTTTTCATAGCAGGTGGCAATACAAATTAATAGGATGCTGGGAAGATAATGTGTCACCTTTTTGGCCTTTACTAGAGACGTGTTTATAATTAAGAGCATGAAGAAGTTAAGATTTGAATGAAAAGAGTAGTGTAATTCGGTGTAATATGATCATTATTTTCTGTATGTCTTGACACAATATAAATATTTTAGCAAGTCATAGAATTACTGGAAGTATAGAAAACAGCCAAAAATAAATTTTAAAAACTTTCATCCAGACATATTTGGACTGTTGGAATATAATAAAACATTTGAAATATGTTCTAATAAATACAATACATTATAGACACTTAAAAGAAAGCATTTTTGTTTTACTTTTATGTATTGTCCAAATAGCACTGGTTTGGGTTTGAGTCTTAGCTTTATGATATACTAGCTAGCCATGTGACTCAGGCCTTTGTAAGTCTAGTTTCCTCATCTGTGAATTGGAGGTGATGATATTAATACTTACCTCTAGAGCGGCTAGGAGAATTAGACAAGATAATGGGCTTGGATATAAGTACTTTAAAAATGGAACTATTATCTATCATTATGTAACTTCAGTTAAACATCTATATTCTTTCTGAAGCATTTTGTACATAGTAGATATTTAACAATTATTTGTTAGTTAAGCTGAATTAACTATTTCTTGAACATTCCTTTATTCACTCATTAATGAAACATTTATTGAGGGCTTAGTATATGTCTGGCACTTTGCTCTCTTTCCCCAAGAAGCACAGAGTCTAGCAAGGGAGAAAAATAACTGTACTGCAATGGAAAGTTAAAAAAAATATAATAAAATTTAATTATCCTTAAAACTTGAGATAACCACTATCAATAATTTTCTCTGCTTTTATGTAAAGGGAATATATGTGTGTGCATATCTTTGAGGAGTGGGATCATGCTTTGCATTCAGTTTTCTGTCCCCAATATATTTTGTGTATCTTTCCATGTCAATAGATACATTATTATTATTAATGACTATATAGTATTCCACTAAAATGTCATCTTCAGAAGATGAGAAAATTTATCATGAATCTTTATGGTATCTTTATCATAAAACATTTGTTGTATTTTTAGCCTCCTCCCAGAAGAAGCAGTTCTATTAAAGAATCAACAGTAAGCAAATTTGAAATGTACAGTGCATTGGCTTGGATTGCGATAAGAGCTGCTGCACAGGTTGGTGTGATTTTTGTCTGATCTTTCTTTGTACTGCTGTGTCTGTATTCTCTGCCTATCAGCCATTAAGACCACACAATGTATCTATAAAAGAGAAAGGAAAATTTCACATTCTTTGGGATTTGTGTCAATTATGTTTCTCTGGAAAGATTAGAAATACTCGTTATGTGTGTAATGTTTTTAATCTCTATTAGCCAGAACTGGCTCTGTTTGTTTCACTTTTCTTTAATGAAAATATTATGAAAATATTGGCAGATACACATATGTATGTAGTTGACATTTTGGAAAGTATCTGTCATTGCTAGGTGAGGTAGGTTATTTAAAGTGACTTATGCATTAATTAAATTGTCAATGCTAAATGATTTGTTTGACTATGATATATTCTACATGTCAGGGATCACATATTATTTTTTCAGGTTGTCTTTATTCTTTTCTTCCAATGTATGTGGAATATTATTTTATGAATTCACTTTTTCATATTATTACCTCATGGAAAGGTTACCTTTATGAATTCTGACTTATGCATTATTTATAGGTCAGTGAAACTGTGCTGGCAATTAACCTGCTTATTGGCAAGAAGACTATTAGAACTGACAAAGTTAACCAGGTAGTATTACCAAATATCCCAGAATTTGCTACTGTGGATCTTTTGTCTTCCTATACGGATTATTTGCTTGGTACGTTTGGATGTCTACATATTTTACAAAAACCTGGTATATGTAATATGTAATCAAGTTTCAAAGATTTAATTTTTGTAATTAGCTGGCTTTTAGCTTACAAGGGGTAATGGTTTAGGAAGCTTCCTGGGGAAAATAGGGGTCATAAGGCCTAGCTGAAAAAAATGGAAGGTCCTGAGCTCACTGTACCTGCACCTATGTTAATCAGATGGTGCATTTCAAGTGCAGGGTTCTGTGAAAAATGATATTTCTTTATGCCTGTTTATTTTCCAGTTCATACATGTCGAGTGGGACCTTTGGGGAATGTTTCCGTGAGGGACTTTCTCTGATCCTTTAATGTAAAATGTGTATGTCTTCTCACACTCTAAAATGGTTCCCTGTTCTTTTTCTTATTAATTTTACATTTTCATGTATGTTTGATTGCGTGCTTAAGCTCTTTCTCTCATTAAATTATCATCAGCTTCCTGAGGGCAGGGGCTTCATCTATTTGATTTCCATCTGCAGCCAATTGCAGAGTGTTTGTACATAGTGGGCATTGAATATTAGTATTTGTTAAATGAATGAATGAGAGGTTAGCAGATTTTAAACTTGACCTCAATACTCTTTATGTTTTTGCTTAGTTATGACTCCTTTTTTAGTAAACTATAATATAAACCTCTATGTCAGATCAGTGGTAACATAAGTATTTAACATTCATTTACGTGTTTGTCCATTCATCCATTCAAAAAAATATTTATTGAGTGCGTCTTGTGTGCTGTGCACTTGAATAGGTGCTAGGAAGCAAGGTGCCAGTCTTACTTCCAGACTAATTTTGCTTGGTACTGGGTGAGCATTGAGCCAAAGGAAAAGAGGAATTTCACTTTAATCCGGCAGGGGTGGGCATGGTCTTCCTAAAGCCTCTGGAATCACATCCATAGGCAGCAGCTTACTCTGCTGAAATGTTGGATCAACCTTAGCTGAAGTGTTAATATCTGAAATCATCCCTTTCCTTGGCTCTTTTCTGAAAAAATAGGTGACCCAGACTATTTTCCAACCTAAAAGTGGCTGCAAACCATTTGATGGACTTTTTATGCTGAGGCTTTGTTTTCTCATTTTTATTTCCACCCTGCCTGGCAGAATTTTGCTCCATCAGGTTTCTGGGCCATGGCCTGAACCTCAGGGTGTTTGCTGTTCCTCAGAGCTCCCAGAGATGGGTTCTCTAGGGACAAAGCCAGTGACCCTGCACAGGGCAATCCATGGCCCAGCAGCCAGCAAGGGCTGGCCCCGCCACTTCTTTTGCTTGAGACTGCTTGGCAGCTCAATTCTCTCTGGTTCAGAATGGCAGGAATGCATCCCTCTTCAAAGTATACATTGTTGTTTTGTTACAAAAAGAGTACGTTAGTAATAATCAAGAGACTTTTATTGATATCTTGGTTCTTATGTCAAACTCTTTTTTTTTTTTTTTGTAATTTTTTTTAGAGAGGGGATCTTGCTCTGTCACCTGGGCTGGAATGCAGTGGTACAGTCATAGCTCACTGCAGCCTCCAACTTCCAGGCTCAAGTGATGCTTCTGCCTCAGCAGTAAACTGGGACTACAGGAGCATGTCACCACACTAGGCTAACTTTTAAAGTTTTTGTAGAGACAGGTTCTCGCTATGTTGCTCAGGCTGGTCTCAAATTCTTGGGCTCAAGCAATCCTCCTGCCTCAGCCTCCCAAAGTGCTGGGATTATGGGTGTGAGCCACCATGCCTGGCCTGTCAAACCATTTAATTTCTCTCAAGCTCATTGTTCTCATCTCTAGACTGAGAGATTAGTAAAAAATCTAAAAAATCTAAAAAAGACTATGATTCAAACTTCCAACATGTCTATTTCTTCTTTATATTGGCTCCTTATTACTTCTGAAAGATGTGTCTACTTTATTCTAGTCATTTCATTGTGCTCTACCAATTTTAGGGCAGAAATTATCAATAAATTATGTGTAAGATGGACCCTAAAACTCAGTGGCTTACAACAACAAAAATTCATTCATGTGTTCTGCTTCAGGCTGCAGGTTGGGATTCAAGTGTACTCCATGTATATTTGTTGTGAGTCGTAGGCTAAAGAGCCAGTGGCTACCTGGGATATTTTTTTTCATGGTAGACACCAGAGCAAAAGAGCCTAAAACCAAATCACACAAGCACATATAAGGCCTCTCTTCCCATCACATCCCATTGGTCATAGAAAGTCACAGGGCCAAGTCCAATATCAGTGAGGTAGGGCAATATACCCTGCCTATACAGGGAAGGAGAGGGGCATGAATGTTTGCTGAATGACTATCACATATAACAAATCCAATCCATGGCTAGCAGCTACCTGAAAAGAATTCTGAACCTCTGTATGGAAAGACAGGAAAAAAAGATCCTGCTGTGATTAATTAATGATGTCACACAATAGAGAATGGCATCCCCTAAACTGAATAATGTTAAATGATCCAGTTGAGCAGGTAACCTTCATCTCAGTTTAATACTAGAACTACACTTTCTTGTTCCATTTCAGTGGCTTTCATAGCAGATTCCAATTTTTCAGTTTCCATTTTATACCATTAGTACTACTTTACTATTTTAACTATGAAATTACCAAATTTTAAAGTCCAATCTGTTTTGCTTTTTGCCTTGCCTCAAGAATAATAATTTTGCCCTGCAGTCTTTTCCTGGCAGGCTGATAATTAATTCAGGTTGATGACTTCCCTCACTTCACTGTTTGGGTTGGAAAGAGGTTCTGAATTCCCACCTGATTGCCACAAATACCCAGATGGCAATGAGGTTCACATTATAATGAACTGCTAAAGGGAAAAATTCCTTAACAACAACAAATAAAACTTGTTTGATTTTCCTTGCATGAGCATAAATTAGCATCTAGCATAACCTCCTCAGTCATCTTAGCTTTAAACAATACTATCATTGATCTATACACGAGGTGGTGAACAATATTCCTTGCTATTGTGTATATAGCTCTGTACCAGATATTTCTGTCCAAAGAGAAGGAGGAGTCAGAGAACACGTCAAAGAGGCAGGTCTTGTCTTCCATGAGCTCTGGTCAAGGACAATCAGAACAGGCAAACACACTGACATTATAGAAAGTTGTCTTTTAGGAGGAACATGATAATGAAAGCAGATTAATGTGCCAGAAGCTAAATGTATGCCTTCTGAGGGAAGCTCAGGCAGGATGGCATATGAGTTAATTAGGGGCATTTTTTTCTGGGATAAGTGTATTGTGGGGAAGATGCAGATTGGCTAGAGACATGGGCACCAAAGGAGAGGGGAAACAAATGTTCACAATGGAGCAATTAATGACCAGAAGCAGGGTGACAGAATGGACTAGTCATGTGTGGAAGGTGGAATATAGATCATCTTGCCAGAACCAGAGAGGAATTGCATGACATGTGCAGAACAATAAGAATTGAGTGATGCACCAGGTTCAATTTATTGAGATATTCTCTACATTGTCTTGCAGAAAGAGACTCTGAAATGGTGGTGCTAGCCATGTGGGACCACATTTATTAATAGGTTCAATGCAAAAAGACATTTATTAGGCACTTACTTTGGGTCCAGTTATGTTCAAGTATGCTCAATCTTTTTGTCTTGATTTTCTTGTTGCCTTAATACACATTTTAGCTGGGATAAAAATTATTAAATTCTGTAAGACATTTTGAATTAAAATTAACATTTGGGGTTAGTGGCCCCAGATACACTCTCTCACAACTAAATACACATGATATGCAGGAAAATACTAATGCACGTCACTGTAAAAACTAATGTTAGTGAACTGATTGTCAAAATACAAATAGAGATGTGTGGAGCAGAACTGAGAATCACAACTGACCATAAATATATGTTTTGCCTCTTGAAATATACAAAATCTTCCAGCCTGAACAAATACAATTGATCTCTTCCCCTCTTACCATCTTGCCCCTCATTTAGAGATGTGGGGAGCTCAATACCCAAACTAGGGTGCTATTTCTCTACTACTACTTTCCATTCTCCTATTCCTCCAACACACAATTCCCCTCAGTAGTAGGGAACTAGTGGGACACATTACTACTCAAATCTCAAATAATTATACCATATGTAGGTGGGAATGGAGAGGAAATCATCTGTGCTAGCAACGGTGTATATGTGTGTGTGTGTGTGTGTGTGTGTGTGTGTGTGTGTGCATGTGTGCTGTATTGGTTCAAAGTATTAGAGATGAGACAATTTGGGTATGATGAGAACCAATCTCATGAAACAGAGCTGTCCTGGTCTAGTATCTGCAAGAGTCCAGAAATTCTACTCAGAGATATGCATATTGAGCATTTCAGTCTGAGAAGAGGCAGTGCCATGGCCAAGAGCAGAGCACCCACTCTACCAGTTGTCAGGCACTAGGTATAAAGAGACCCTCTCTATTCTAGACAGAGTCAGCAATGGAAAATAAGAAACGACACATGGCACTCTCAATGAGTACACAATGGAATAGTCCTGAAGACTGATATTTACCCGTCAGGGAATCAAAGGGAACTTAACAAGATTGTTTGGTACCCTTAGCAGCGCCTGAGACGTCAACACTGACACAGCAGCAGAAAGCCATAATGCAGAAAGTGCCAGATAATGAGATGAGTGGCACCTGACGCTGTGCACTAGGATTTCATTTATTCTTAGGAAAATCCTGTGAGAGTGTCATTATGCACATTTATAAATGAAGCAAGATGCTCATTCAGAGAGATTATGTAACTTGAGTAATATTCCACTGCTAATTCAAATCCTGCTTTATCCCGTTCTAAAGTCTGTGTTGTTAATCATTATGTTGGGTGTGATAAGAAAGTATTACCAGGAACTCACCATGTAGAATTGATACTTCTGGTCAACCTGCTGCACTGATAGGACTGAGCTGGCATGAGAGAGGCCTCCGCCCTTCCTAATCCAAACACATAACAATGCTGAATAAAGCAGAACAAAAACTGTTTTAATTTGTAGCTAAGCTTGAAGCCAAGAAACGGAAATCCAGGA